AGCTCTCTCTTTCCTTGAGAAGTTCTCCTGGGCTTTACTGCCCTGTGACATAGACATATCTTGATGTACTGCATTTTGAACTGGAAACTGGAATTTTGAGCCTAAGAACCTTTGAAATTAGATACATATCTGAAGATCCTATTAAGACCTTGACACACATGCTGGGTCGAGACAAAAGCGTGTGAATTGGTTGCCCTGGACAAACTGAAGTCTGGAGCAGCGAGTAGATCACTGTTATTGGTTGTTGGGGGTGGAGATCATTGTTAGGTGATTTCTCGTCATTTAGAAAGGGGTGCATTTACTTCTAGAGTTGTCTAAAGCACCCAGTGTTAGGATGTTTGTATAAAGTGCGGATTGGATACTTACAAAATCAAAAAGCTAAGACACCCAGTGTTAGGATGTTTGTATAAAGTGCGGATTGGATACTTACAAAATCAAAAAGTTAAGTGTTGGTGTTTGAAAGGAAATGAGCCTGCATAAGTTGTTCCGCTGTGTCATTCCCAGCGATGCATTGTATTCTGTTTTGTACGTTGTGATAGATTTTCAATTCTTTTAGAGAGTAGAATAAGAGTCGATAGCATGGATGTGCACATAGACCCCCGGTACCATGTTTAGTATTCTTTTGTTGCTTCCTTTCGTCTTTCTACAGTCGATTATCATATGGTTTGCTGACTATTGTGTTTGTCCTCAGACAATAGGCTGTTTATGACTACTGTTGAAAGTGTTGCTGAATCCATGGGTAAAGTTGAAGAGAAGGAGAACAAAGATGCTACTTCAGCTGCTGGGTTACTGGAGAAATTGAGCGTGGGCGAAAGTAAAACCGAGGAGCCAAGTAAAACCGAGGGTGAGGCTCCGGAGGATGCAGCAGCAACAGAAGCAGAAAAGCCGAAGACAGAAGCGAAGGCGGAGGAGCCAACCTCAGCAGATAAGGCCTGAAGAATCAATGGTTTTAGCAATTATTATCAATTTGCTTCGTATTCTCACATGAGTCTGTTAACGTGAGTTTACTTAAGAATGTGTTCTGTTTTGGGGTCAGGGCAGGCATGCGTGCGTGCGGTGGTGATTATGTTTTTTTTGCTGCACAAGCGTGTGGGTGCCCTTCTTCTCTATAGTTGTACTTAGTGGTATTTGGTTGTATTTTTGTCACGCTTGAAAATACTCCTGTGTGTTTCATTGATGGTGGATTTTTTGCAATAGTGATATGCTTTATCAAAATTTGTATGATTGGTATGAACGCCCGCTTATTTGGTCAACTCTGTTGTTGTTTTAATTATTTATCTTTCATTCAATATATACATTTTTTTTAGGGCTTTTTGTCTTTAGGTCCAATAGTTTACCTCCCTTTATTTTTAAACCCAAGTAGTATGAGTTGTATCTCTAAGCCCAAATTTCTTTTTGTATTTATCTTTAAACCTAATTTCAAAATATAATACTCTCATATGTGGGTCCCCCTATATAAGAAAATTGGGTTTAAAGACAAATACAAAAAGAAATTTGGGCTTAGAGAATATGTGGGTCCCCCTATATAAGAAAATTGGGTTTAAAGACAAATACAAAAAGAAATTTGGGCTTAGAGATACAACTAATACTACTTGGGTTTAAAATTGGGCTTAGAGATACAACTAATACTACTTGGGTTTAAAAATAAAGGGAGGTAAACTATTGGACCTAAATCATTGTAGTTGGTAGTCAACAGTGCGCACAAGTTTACCACTGCACCTTGGACGATGTGGGTTAGCAAATCAATAACATAAATTAGTTTGTCGTCTTGGGTTACTGTCAAGCATGCTCCTAATCCAATCACAGATTATAATTCAGATTAGAGGGCTAATTGAACATAAACCTCTAAACTTATAATTCCCTGCAGATAGATCCCCTGAATATCACCCTTCGCTGTAAAAGAGAGACAAAAATTTCACCCGGCGGCCTACATGTCAAAATGAATAATTACTGAGCGATACCATAGCGGGTCTACCTTCAAAACTTTTGAGCTCAAACTGCAGGAATAAGTTAGTCTACAGACAAGATCCATCTTTGAGGAACATACAACATGAAGCTCGTGATCCTCTCAAAGATGGCGACCAGGTAAAAGTGGAAGAAAACTAACGACCAAGAACAAGAGAGAAGCAACACTGTGGACTGAGTAACAAGAGAAAGAAAAACTAAGGACTTAAGAACAAGATAAGCAATTAAACGAGACTAGAAAGCTCCGCCACGGAGGAGAACCGAAGGGAGGGAGCCCGGCGCCTCAGAAGATCGCGATCAGTTCGGATTCTGCAAGAACATGCCCTTCAATCGCGTCCATGAGCTTATCCTTGGTCACCTATTTAGATAAATATCGTAAAATTAATCCACCCCCTTAACTTTGGATGATTAGGACTCAATCATGCATATGATCAAAAGACTAATAAAAATAAAAAATTAAAAAAAAAAAACCCCTTGCCTTGTTGCCAAGATGAACAAGGTCGTCGAGCGCGTAAAGCTTGAACTGAAACCGATGCCCCGACGACGGCCGCCTTCGAGCCTCGCCACCCGGGGCACCTTGTGATCGTTCACCCCTCTTGACCCCCCGTACTTCCCCCACCTCCCCCTCCCTTCCGAGGAACCCCTCGCGGGAGCCCCCTCACCGACGGCGCGGTATCTTCACCACCACCCAGTGGTAGTCCACGGCACGACGGGCCCCTCGGGTCCGGGGCGTCGGATGTCCTGCAACACCACGGCCATCGGACTTGGCTTTCCTCCGGCCACGTTGTGCCACTCCAGAGCGGAGGGGAGAATGTATCTTCTGGGCCCTGCCCGTCGCCGGTGCTATTTCCGGGGGAGGCGGCCCTCGTGTCGGATATTGAGGGGAGGTGAGCCTCCCAGGCGTCGTCGTCGTCGTCTCCTGAGCCATTTTTTAGTTCGATCCGTGAGCGAGTCTTGCTTGGTTTTTGAGGCCGAGGGGAGTCCGGCATGGAGGGTTTAAGTATCGTGGGAGGGCGGCGGGAGGCGGCACGTGGCGGGTGGTGAGGGTTAGGTGTGGGGGAGCGGCACGTGGCGGAGGGTAGGACAGGTGGCGTTTGGGGAGCGGAGGGACAGGGATGGCGGGCTGGGGTTTGGAATCTGGTGGTGGGGTGGCGAGGCTGGTGTGATGTGGGCCTTATATGGGCTGAAAACTTATTTGATTGTTATGGGATTTGCTCTCGGTGGGCGTAATTGCCGGAGTGCGTTTAGGTACGTGCAACGAGGGGAGGCCTCGTTATGCATGTGAATGTTGGAGCGTCAGACTGTGCTCCACAAGTGGGCCAATTGGCCCAATCCTTCACCACCCAAAATCACGCTAATCACTTGGGTACCGTTTGGCAAAGGGTGAAGTGAGGGGTTAAGGAGACTTAACCCTTTCTTAGCCCGCCAAACATAAAAAAACTATACTAAGGGTTAAAGTGAGTTAAGCCTATATAATTTACCACACATAAAAAATATAGAAGGGTTAAGCTAATCCTTCTAGAGGGATTAAAATGAGGGGTTTACTAATACTCTTATTTGGAAGGATTAAGAGTTAACCCTTCTAATTATAAAGAAAATAGTTAAAATCATTGTTATTCTCAAATACTAAAAATGTTCACAAGGACTAAAATAAAACTTATTTTAACGGGTTAATAATTTAGCCCTTCAGATTACCGAATGGACTAAGTACATTAACCCTTTTATTTAACTCCTCTTCCTTAACCCTTTGCCAAACGGGGTCTAATATTATAGTGGATTAGTTTGCGCTCTAGATTAAATGTACAAATATCAAAAGTTAAAGAAAAGTTACAGTTTAAATTTTAAAAATAAAAAAGTATTTTTACTTGTTCCTTGTGATAATATTTCAAAATATCACGTTGACAAGATTGACGAGAAATTTTTTTAAATGTGGGATAAAAATCATCTGTAATCATATCTTCAACCTCATCATCTTCTACTAATTTAAAAGGAATGTTTTTAAGAATAATAAAACTGATGACGCATTTCCTTGATTTAATCGCGTCATAGTTCCAACTATCGAGACTACTAGAGGATGAGGATTGTGAGAATAAAGATTGTTGGATATCACCTTAAGGCATTATTTGACCTCTGTTGTGCGTTTCTAAATGACGTTTTGAGATGGTTGGTGCCGCTTTTTATGATGAGCTTGGAAAATATGGCCGCACAACGCACACTTAGCCTTTTGGATGAGAAGCCTACCGTGTTAATCCCTGGTAACTTCTATATTCTCGAAGAAGTTCCACACATCGGATCTTGGCCTTTTAGGAGCTCTAGGTGCAGAATCATCGCCACCAGATCCGTGATCAACATCGGTAGGAGGAGTAAATGTAGCTCGTGTAGTAGGAATATTAGGACTCATTTCAACATCGGGAGTTGAGATTTGCCTTTCATAATCAGAGGAGGAAGCCATTTGATTGAAGAATTAGAGAGCAAAAGCGGGAATAAAAAAGTATTAAAGAGTATTAGAGAGAAGTAGATGAGTTTTGGATGAGAAAAATAAATAAAAACTCCCTTTATTTATAAAGGCAGTCCCCTAGCCAAATGACAAAATTACCCTCATTGCCCTTTTTTACCGTTTTCGGGGGTATTTTGGTCAAAAGCGTAAAAAAGGTCGTCGTACCGTCTCGGGGCTGGCTGTCCGGCCAACGATCAAATTCGTGACCATTGTGGGGAGTGCGGCGGCGGGATGCAGGTTGGTCTGCCCGCCCACTCGCCCAGAGATCGACTACTCTCCGCGGCCGACACAGAGGTTGGTTGGTCTGTCGTGACCGTGTGATGAAACCGACAGGCTCGGCCGGCACCCGTTTCAGGCACAGCGGAACGCCTGGTTTGCCCCGGCCGAGTCGGCAGGCTCGTGATCGCAGGAGCCCACCCGAGGCTCCAGTCCTTTTTTGCTTGCTGGGCCAGGCCGGGTCCGGTGCGAGCACGGGCAAAGCGGCATGGGCATGGTGGCCTGGAGCCCGGATAGGCCCGAATTTCCAGGCAGTCGCTCGGGCCCGGCTAGGCTTGGGCCCTTGTGCGGGTACCGGTCCGAACACCGGGCCGAGCCCGGGCCCAAATGGACAGGCCTACCTGAGATTATTGATTGTAATTACACGAGTGACCGTAAAATCTGTCGACAAATTAACAATTTTTTTAATCCCAATTTAGACTTCTTTTTGGGTGTTAGTTAGGATTTGTATTAGATCATCGCAAAATTAGAGTTATGATGGGCTATATTAAAAAAACTACTGACCATCAGAGTTCGGGTTAGGATTACAACAATAAAACTTTACTTTTACTAAGTACTATAACCTTAATCCCAATCTCAACCCTACTCCTAAACCCAACCAAAATCCTAACCCTAACATTAAACAAAAAAACTTCAATCAGCAAAAATCAACGTGTTCAAGAGATCATAGGGTCACTTAAACAATTACATCAGTCGATCTAAGATTACGTACCGACAAAGATACGCTGACTCCATGATCACTCTTTTAATCACAAGATACCCCTGGGCATCCGAACGTACCTAACCTTATTATGATCCAAGCATATAATTAAACTTGATCAACAATATTTTCTTAGTAGGTTCTTCTTTCCTATTAACAGAGGATGGGAATTAATACAATAACACCATTCAAAAGAGGGGGGAATTAATGTACTGGCATCGATCACCTTTATATATATATTTTTTGTATCAGCTTTGGCATGACCACTGCTTGACAAGGGAGGGAATAGAACACTGTTCCCTTTGACTGAAATAGCAAAAAATGAAAGATAGCAAAGAGAAATGGCTACAGCATGTTCGTTGGATTTGAATGAATAAAAGAATGAGAGATGGTAGCTCAATAGTAGACAGAATTTAAAGAGCATATCTTCCAAGGACAACACTAGCATCCCCTTCGTGCTCCATGTAAACCCCCCTCAAAAGGCCGAGACCTATACACGAATCTCTGACCGATAGGCAAATAGTAGACAAGGTCATTTATAAAAATTTAAAAAGAAGACGCTATAATTAAATATATATTGAATAAATTATGACCATCCAAGTTTTTTTTTTTTTTAAGGATAGATCTGTGCCAGTGATGATACTATGATCTTCTCATCACAAATCAAGCGTTGCGACAGCTTTGCTTTAGAGTTTCTCCTAATTTGTTGATGGGTTTCTTTTACCTCCCCTATTAGAATTTTTTTTTTTAATATTTGCTGATAGCAATTCGTTGGACAACGCGTCCCCTCAATACCATCAGCATGCCCACTAACTTGGGGGTTGGGGGAGGGGTGTCATTAGCCCCCATGTTTAGCACATGGTCGGTCAGAACCTCCCGCTCGCATGTAAGCAGTTCTGATAAAAACAATACCCACTTCATTTTAAGTACTTGTCACAATTCACATGCACAAGACGCTTATAACTTAATCCAAGCCAATTTTCCAGTTTATTATGTTAACCTCATAGAGCGCAAATCTTGTCATCACACTTTTCTTGTGAACGATGTTACATCTTTTCAATTTGAAGGGTTGGAATTTGGATTGTTGCAAAAGAAGGTGGACATTTTGAGATTTAGGGTGCGTTTAACAAGCTAGCCTTTAAAATCAGGTCAGGATTGACCTGGATTTGGTTAGCCTAATCGGACTACAAATATCTTTGAGATGAGAGGCATGTTCGGAACAGATAAAACTAGTTTTAGAGCTAAATTTTACACCGAATAATCATGTCAATGCTAGTTCATTTTTTACCAGACATAGAACAATCTTTAATCAGATTATGATCAATCTACATCTAATTTTAAAGAGTTGCTAAGCTCGCCCTCTTTTAAGCGCTCTAAACAAATAAACATGAATCACTTTTGGTTGTGAAAGGATTATTGTTCTTAGGGTTTGTTTACCAACACGATTGAAATGAAAGCCAGACAGGGTGGTTCGATTATAACATGATTAAAAGGCTGAAAAATAAACTAAAATAAGTTGAGTCAGCTTTAGTCAAAATTAGATTAGATTTCAACCTAGCCCAGCTTTATCGATTTACCAAATAGGCCTGGGTACTATATTTGTATTCGATCTCGTATCGTCTCTCGGCGAACAATTTGGTGAGCTACAAATGAGTATAACTTGCACGTAAACTCTCAGCATTGGCAATCAAATTCCACTATAGCCAAAAAGCTCTCAATTGAAACGACACGTGTGACAACAACTTCCCATAGATAGCGTATGCACGTGCGATTGCCCCAACAGTAACTCAAATCTTACGCCATGCTTCGTCTGATATAGCAATTTGACAACTCCTTCACTCCCATTAATCTCTCTCTCTCTCTCTCTCTAGCGAGAGAGAGTCTCTCTCTCTCTCTCTCTCTAGCGAGAGAGAGAGAGAGAGAGAGAGAGGGGAGAGAAAGCTGCAGCAGCCAAAATCCAATCAAGGGTGTTACATCTTTCAGTCGTCATCACCAACTCTGATCTCTTCCTTCCTTCTTTCTTCTCTTCTCCCGTCAAAATCAAACAGAGGGCCGAGTATTCTTTTGTTTTGTACCGTGGTGTGATGTTATCAATCCAACCGTCCTCTGCCTCTTTCTTCTCTCATTTCCTTCTTCTATCCTCTTCCTCTCCTAATGACAGGTATTCTCACCTCGCACTAGTTGCTATAATTAATGCATCATTACAAGTGTCACCAACATACGGAAGTAAAACAAGTTCAAGAATCCATCCTTAATAACACTAAGAGCATCTCCAACAGCTTTCCCAAAATTTTCTCCAAAATGGAGAAACAAATGTCATATTCTCCAAATTATTTTTACTCCAACTCCAACAGCTTCCTCATTTTGAAAAATCGCATTTATTACAATAATAAAGCTCTTCCCAAAAATTTGGAGAATGCTGCAGATTTGGGAAGGCTCCCTATTTTTTCTCCTCCTTCTCTATTTTGGGGAATGGGATGGGGAATCTGTTGGACCAAAAAAAAGCTCTATATTCTCCAAATTTGAGTATTTCAAGAAGATGGAGAAGCTGTTGGAGATGCTCTAATAAATGTTTGACTTAATCGTGATTAAATCATAGAGATTAAACAACAAGAGCGGAAGCTATACCTGAATCCATTTCATGGATCTGAGATAGGGTTTTTGATGATCTTCTAATCTTAAAGTTTCTCCTTTAGATATGGGGATAAGAGAGTAGAGGGTGTGTTAACCCTAGATTAGGGACCATAACCCCATATATATAGGTGTTGTACATTTATAATTTGGCCACTCATCAAATTATAATTAAAACCTGGTATCTACACATTTAGCCCATGATTTATTTAAATACCCATTAACCCAAATTTATTCCCTTTAAGTGAGTTATCTTTAAAGATATCAATACACAATGATTAATCATATGTGCCCACAAGTAGATTTAATTAGATTTAAATCCAACAATAAAATCAATTAAAAAACTACAGTATTTGATTTCTAAATAAAGTTTTTCAAACTCTAAAGTTGCCGTGAAAATTAAGATCAATTATAATTTGAAGCTTCCCGTCAAGATTTTTTGCCAGAAAGTCCGGCTTGGAAACAGCCGTGTTGTCAGCGGATTATATATATATATACTTATATAATATCCGTCCAACGTACGACCCCATAGCAAATGTCGCCCTATATATATATTATTTACTATTATATATATATATATATATATATATATATATATATGAGTTTTTTAATATCATTTTAAAACTCCTATTATAAAACTATAAAACTATGATGAATATTTATGGTAACCGAATTGATTATTGATAATAAGAATTCGATAACAAACTTGCACATTTACAATCTCAGATCCTATTAAATAAAACTTGTTAACATACTTATTTGGCAACTCACAAACTTACAAAGGGTGTATTTAGTAATCAAAGTGATTTTATTATAGTGTTTTTTTAGGAAAAACACTATGTCATGGTGTTTTTTTTCAAACATGTTTTGAAAACATCATTTTTAGTTATTATTTATATAGCGGCGGCGTATTCCTCATAAGAACGATTACTAAATTGGTCTTAATATTTGATCTAACTAAACTAGTCAATGAGTTAGTGTTAGAATTAAAATAAAGTTATAACTATCAATTCTCACCACAACTTTGGAGTTCGGTGTAATAGTTATTAGGGTGTGTTTGGCAACTTCACACTAATTTGGTTAAGACCTTAACCAGGATAGGATTGAACCAAGATAGAGGTGGTCCGAAAATAACCTAGATAAAAGTCTCTTTTTAAACTAAAAAGAACTAGTTTAATCTAGTGCAAGTTTTGACCGAGCACATATCTGAGTTAATGCCCTTATCGAAATTAACGGAGGAGTTGCCAAACAAGCCCGTACATTTGGCAAAAACCGGTTCAAAATTGAACCATTTCTTTTTATCACGATATTTTAATTATAAACTAGTTTGGTTCTTAATCAGAGGAGAGCAGGTCTTGATCTAAACTAGTTTAGATCAAGACAGACTTAAGGAGAAAATGTTGTGAAATTGACCCTTTTATTAACCACTTTTATTCAGAGCCTTATATTCATAGAATCATATTTACATATTTATTTCCTAGGAAAAATGTGAGGACCTCGTCGCTTTCGAGGCAACAAACAAGATCTGATATGCAATGTCCAATGTCCTTAGAGCAAGAGAGGGCTTGATATAATAATAGTATCAATGTATGGTACATCTCGGGATAAGGGATTTCTCAGCCTATGTTTGGTACTAGTAACATCAACCTTTTCCCCTACAGGAATTTCTTCAATAGACTCCGTTACTTTACAATTCCATTTTTTAATAGAAAATTTTGTTGAAGGCAACATACATAAGGGTATGTTTGCTTCGGTTTCCGGAGGGGAAAAACGAAGAAGAGAAAATCTAATAAGAATCATCCCAATAAATTTCGAACTGATTTCATTACAAAAACTTCTATAAGGGGTTTCTTATAAACGGCTTTATCCCTCTTCTTAGGGGGTGTTTGGTTCAATTTCTAAAAATTATAGGAAATGTTTTTCACCTAAAATATGATTTCCTTGTATTTCTTAAAAAAATTATAGGAAAAGTTTTGAGAAATAAAAAAGTACCAATTTTCTTGTTTTTTGTACTTTGCTTGTTTGGTTCAAAATAAGAAAATAGCTCATAACTTTATAGAAAATAACAAGATTTGGTAGGTTTTTAATTAAATATGGTATGTGTCAGATTTCTAATGATTTCCTCTCATTTTGAGAGGAAATTGATTTTTGTAAAATTTGGTAGATTTTGATATTTTATAGAAAATATTTCTGTAAATATTTTGTTGAACCAAACACAATTTACAGAAACCTCTGAAAAACTTTTAATTACAAATTTGCCATTATCAGATGTTTTGAGAAAAGTTTTCTCAAAAAATGTGCAACCAAACAGAATAAAAGGAAACTTATAAGTAAATAGATTTCTTTAAGGGTTTGATTGTTGTGAAATGCTTATTTAACAAATTGAGCTATCAAAAAAGTTTTGCCACGACAACTAAAGTGAGCATCATCACATGTGTATCTCTTAGTAGCTTATTTTGCAAAATAAGTCGACACCTCATATTATTATTTTTTTCCTTCCTATAATGTGGTTTATTGGTTATTATAGTGAAAAGAAACACAATTATACATTTTTTTTATGAGAGGAGGTGCAAGAAAAATTTGAGAACTTGAGTTTGCAAAACCTGAAGGCATGTTTGCTAATTCCAAAATTAAAAGTTTGGGGGAAAGGCCAATTTGACTCATTGCGCTGTATATCAAAGGACTGCATCTTGTGGTGAGATCTGAGCCATAGAGAGGAATTACAAAATATCCAAACTATTCCACTGCCTGTTATCTCAATGCCTCACAGTGCCTCGATCTTTAGAGCAAAATAGAATACTTTTACTCAAAACCAAATTGGGATTAGTCCTGACCTAGTTTAGAGGAGCTTGCAAAATAGATCCTATTATACATGTGGATTGTAAAATTGAAAACATAACTTGCCAGAAATCTATAATATGAATACTCAGCCACCGCATCGTATCATTTTTTTTAAATCGACATTAAATTAGTGACTAGTAGTAGTAAAATTTGAGTTACTCTGATATCATGTCAAAGAATCCTATCACTATATCAAAACTCTAAAGTTATAATAAAGGTTAAGGATTTATATTTTTATATTCTAACAACGTGTACTTGCATGTTTGTTTTGAAGGCTCGACAACTCATCTTATGAATAGTAAATATATATAGGGATGAATTAGTTAAGGTTTATATAGCTTGATCAGTTAATTTCATTTCTTGACACCTCATCCTGCTAAACGTGTTCATATCCTTTTCTACATTAATTAGAACTCTTTTTAACTCCTTTCAAGTCAATTTCCAAGCAAAGACGGAAACTTTTGATTGCTCATTAGTAAAGTCAAATATTTAGATGACTTGGCCTAACTCGCAATGAACTCAAAGACAAGAGTTACACCTCTAAATATTGGGCGGTACCAGAGAAGGGTATTAATCCTCCCACAAAATCTTAAAGCTACATCTGTATCAACCGTACAGGCTGAATGAAAACTCAAAAAGACATAGGGTATTATATCTGTATTATTGCAGAAAGAATGCAGACAAAAGGACTAGTGTACCCTCCTCTCCTCTCTCTCTCTCTCTCTCTTCAAACCCTAATTTCTCCCCTCCCTCCATCAAAACCCTAACCCTAACCCTAACCCTATTGTATATATATCACTCCTATGATCTACCCTAGAATTCGGCTGACACTTGACCGCTTTCTCTCTCTCTTTATCCCTCTATATAACTCCTCCCCAAACTCCTCAATCCAACACACACTACTTTCGGAACTAATTAACAAGCTGAGCTCCAAATGGAAAGCTGCCAACAAAGCCCCTGGCTGTTGACTGAAGTTAACAACTCCTCCTCATCAACCAAAACCCTAACTCAAAACCCTAAAGAGCGGAGGAGCTCGGCAAAGAGGCCAGCTTCATCTATGAAGCTCTCCACCGACCCTCAGAGCGTCGCGGCGAGGCAAAGGCGACATCGGATCAGCGACCGGTTTAGGGTTTTGAAGAGCTTGGTCCCTGGAGGGAGCAAGATGGACACTGTGTCAATGTTAGAGGAGGCAATTAACTATGTTAAGTATCTTAAGACCCAGATTTGGCTTCATCAGGCTGCAGAAGCTTTGATAGTTAACCCTAATCATGACCATCATCAAGAGCCCACTAATCTTAGTTTTGGAGCTAATTGCTTTGGTGATGTTGGTACTAGTGTTGTTGACACTAATGCTAGCGTTTGTACTAGTGAGGAGATGTTAAGTTATTCATTACCACCTCCTCCACCAAGTCTTGTTCCATTTCCTTATTGCTCATATGAAGGTGGAGAGGAGATGAACCCTAACTTTAGTGTTAATTACTACTAGCTAACAAGCTTGTATGGCTAGATTTGGGTCATGAAATATGTAGCATCGTATCTCTCCAAATGATCTATAAAAGTCTCTATCTTAGTTTTTCTTGTTTAATTGTGATGGATATGTGAGCCGTTTCATGGTATTATCATGATCAATAGCCTCCTACTTTTCTTAATAACAATGCTAGAATTTGTTGTAGTGATCACGAGATGTTAAGTTGCTTCCAAGTCATTCCTCTTTGAAGAAGAAAGAGGAAAATGAAATGAACCCTAAGTTCAGTGCAATCAAGTATTACTAGCTAGCCATTTGGCTAGATTTTGTTTTTTTTAAGTGAATGAATTTCATTTGCCATATGCAATGTAAGTACATTGTATTTTGGTATATATTGGTCATTTTATATGTAGCATTGTCTCTCTACGTGATCTAAGTTTCTTTTTTTCAGTTTCTTTTTTCCTTAGCTATGGTGGATATTTTTCTTGATACTACCAGACTTTTCTGGTGTTCATGAGTAGCAAACATGTTCATATTTTTTTTGGTAAATGAAAAACATGTTCATATTTGGTTGGTGAATAAAGTTCATTTTCATTGACCAAAAAAAAAAGCTATGGTGGATATTTTAGTGTCAATTAGAGAAGAGAGGAAATCAACCCTAATTTAATGGCAACTATTACTAGCTAGTACTTTTGGCTAATTAGGTATATATATATTAGCTTTGCCTCTAAATTATCTATAAAAAAATTCTTGTGTCTGTGCTTGTGTTTTATGGTACTGAATGTTCTTCTGCCTTAAAAATTTCTACTCTTAAATTTTCTACTAATAATTTAGTGGCAGTACTAGTTTGTTAAAACCTCTATATTGCTTTACTGAAGATTAGTCTAAATACCAACTGCCGCCTCCTCCACCAACTATTTGCAACTTTGCCACATCGGCCATCGCTCATCTCAAGAAGAGATCTAGATGAACCTTAATTTTAGTATCAACTACATCAAGTACTTTGTTTGGTTAGATTTTATGTCATGTTATATGTAGCATTTCCTCCTAGATAATCTATACAAATGTTTCTATTTTTTGCTTTTTTTGCTAGTTATGGTGGACATTTGTTCGGTAAACAAGCAAAAAATTGATGTGTTTCAGCTGCATGTGGCATTTCTTGGGGAGCTAGCTTAGGATATAGACAGAAGAGATACTCTATAATTGGAGTTGTGAAGAGAAGTTTCTACTGTGGAGATTTCATCTCATCAGTTGATTGTTGGGTGTTGCGTGAGGAGAGAAACAAAGGTTGACACTTGAGTGCACATGATAGCTTTTCAGCTTCAAATGCTTTGTCACTTCAATTTACCAGGCATCCAGCAGCCCAAGGTAATTATGATGAGTGAATATTGGTCCAGACTTCAGAACAAGGATGATTTTTGTCAGTTTTAGGTACCTTTGTTCTCTGAATTTGTTATTTAATTAATATAATTTGGGGCGGGGGGTGTTCAACGTTACTCCCTTAAATGTTAGTGTTTTTTGAATTAGTCTCTCAATTCATTGAAATTGCGATTGTGTCCCCCAAATTTCTGTATCTCGCTGCTTCTACTCGTAATAGGAAGGGTTAATTTGAAATAATTTATTAGGATGGGGGACCCAATAGCAATTTCAATGATTTGAATGGCGGTTTTGACAATACGAGTGACTGATTTTGAGACAACTTATAAGATTCTGAGGACCTGGCAATTTCAATGATATAAGAAATTATTTTTAAGAGAAAAGATTTAATTAAGGGTTATTTGCACTTTGGTACCTGTTTACACAAGTCTTAACTTGATATCCTAAAGTTAACACATTTTTTAACTTTGATACCCTAATTTTTTTTTCCAGACACTAAATTTGAGTGGGGTCCACCTTCATGTGAAGAGATAGAACATCGTGAAAGGCTAAGAAGTAAATGCGTGAGGTGATTTGAGTGGGGTCACACGTTTGTGAGGTGGAGAATTGTGAATGGTGTACCAAAACCCATTTGAGTGCACGTGACTCTTTCCGCGTGAATAAGCATCCCACAACCCGAGTTTTACAGGGCCTCACCTGATTGACGTTTGCAGCTATATATAGCTGGATGTAGGCAAACCTAGGTTTTTTGGTGCAAGAGCAAAGAGGGGGTGCGGCGTATAGGTGCAGAAGAAAAGAAAAAGTGGCTGAAGCAGTTCTCCTGGGGCTTCGCGCAGAGAGAAAAACATCAGTGTTTTGTGCAACCGTCTTTTGAGTTTGAGCACCCTTTTGAGAGAGAGATTGTGAGAGATTTGAGAGAATGTTTGAGGGTTTAATTTGTATAATTATAAACCATATTTGTATTCTCTTTCTTTCCCTCTAATAGTAGATCTCTCCCCTCCTTACCTCGTGGACGTAGGCAATTTGCCGAACCACGTTAAAATCGATTGTTTGTGCTATGATATATAATAGATAGTTTAGGTTCCCTCGATAGGTCAATCCTAGAACTGATGAGAGAAAGAACTGATATCCCATTTTGTTGAGATGTTTTACTTTCGGTTCTTGTTTTCTTTGTAAAACAGTGATTTAGTTGAGATCTACTCTCTTGCCGAGCACCAGAGGTATTGTCAAAATTTTTGTTACGCACAACAAGTGGCATCAGAGCTCGGGCTACGCTTGGACAATTTGGAGGAGTAGATTGCTTTGGAAGCTCGACTAGAGTTTCAATTGGAGTTAAAGGTGGGATCTTTTTTGGTAAATGCTCTATCTTTCTCAAGTTTGGATCTATTCTTCAGTTTGTTCCATATTGGTTGTTGGTGTGTTGAGGAATATGGCCGGGAAAGAAGGTGTTGAGGGTGGTGCTTCTGGTGAAGACCATTCAAAATTTGAATATCCACTCTACAAAAATAAAAGTGGAGAAATTTAATGGCATGAATGTAGGCGTCGAAAAATGCTTGCAGGCATCCAAATACCACTCAAAACAATATGGGAGAACAATTTACACGTCATCAGGCAACACAAGGTGGCGCGGCAGCCCATGGCGTCGCATCTAAGGCGCGACAGCACATAGTGCCGCGGCTAAGGCGCGACAGCACATAGTGCCGCGGCTAAGGCGTGACAGCACATAGTGCCGCGGCTAAGGCGCTGCAACCTAGGGTGCCGCGGCTATGTTAAAGGAGTGCTGTGGCGGTTACAAGGCAGTTATATGATGATTTTTTGAGGCCTACGTGGCAGCATATCAGAAATAGAACGTGTGCTGACGTGGACAAGCAGTTAAACCACGAAAAAAGTGGTTAAAGGTCGTGGGAGAACGGTTTTAAGCACGATGGAACGTGCTGATAACCGTCTCTTTGGCCGCGGCAGCCTATACTGCCGCGCCAATAGCCGCGGTAGTGTAGACTGCAGCGGCCAAAGAGAAAACATCAGGTCGGTTATTTTGCCCCCGTTTCAACTGTGGTGCACTCACGATCTTTGAATCGGTGGTCAACGAGCCAAAGCACTCACGGCACAGGCAAAGTCCCACAAAGCAGGAGTTGATAAACAATTTCTGTGTTATTTTCTCGAGAGTTGTAATTTTTGTTTAGTTTCATTGTAATTTCGTGTAAACAAATCAAAGTTTAATGGAATCGACAATGGAGTCAACTTTCGCTGAAAACAATGAACACCTTTGGACTTGAATGATGCGCAGTTTTGAATGCGCTGAACATGTAAAATTTGAAGGACACTTTGAAATTAGATGGCAAGCCAGACGATATTGAAGAGAATGTTTGGAAGAAGATAAATTGGACGGCGTATGGTGTAATTTGGTCTTGTTTAACACATGATCTAAAGTATGATGTGATGAATGAGACTTCTACAAAGAAATTTTGAGAGATCTTTGTGAGCAAGTATTTGACCAAGAGTGTGGAAAATCGCTTGTATTTGAAGAGGAGTTTTTATCGCTTCAATTGAAGAAGGGAACCTCCATTAGTGATCACATGAACCACTACACGAAGTTTCTTACGGATTTGACGAATGTGGATGTTATGATTAAAGATGAAGATAAGACATTGCTGTTGTTGAGTTACTTGCCTGATGAGGAATACGAGACATTTGTTCTTACCCTAATTAATGGGAAGACGTCCCTTTCGTATAGTGAGATCACTGCTGTACTTGTGAACTATCAGCTTCAAAAGAAGAATAAGGAGGCTTCAGTTGAGTCGGTAGCGGAGGCGTTGGTCACAAGAGGAAAGAATCCAAACCGAAAGAATAAGAAGTCACAGTCTAGAGTAGGGCATCCTACAGTTAGAAAAAATTAGTGTGCTTGGTGTAAGAAGACTTATCATTAGAAAAAAGATTATCCAAAGCTCGACGAATGGATGAAGAATAAGTAGAAGGGAAAAGGGAAGCAACCATCATCAGAAACAAACATCATTATATCGGATGATAATATTTCTGATACCTTTATTTATTCGCTTTCTATCAGTCCTACAGGTAGGTATTCGGAGGAATACGAGTGGATGTTGGATAGTGGTGTGACCTATCATGTGTGTCCTACAAGGGAATGGTTCTCTAGTTTTGAGAAACTGGATAGTGGTGTGGTATACATGGGAGACAGCCATGCATGCCAGATCCTTGGGATAGGATGAATTCACATAAAGATGTTTGACGGGACTATTTGAGAGTTATATGATGTGAGATATGTTCCTTCCTTGAGAAGGAACTTGATCTCAATTGGAGCTTTGGTTGGAGAGGGTCTGAAGGTTCGTGTTGAGGACATGGTTCTTGAGATCGTGTAAGACTCTTTGATTGTGATGAAGGACGCCAGGAGGAATAACTTGTACTATTTAATTGGATATACATTGACAGGTGAAGAGCTGACGACTTCTATTGATTCGACTAGACCGCGGTATTTGAGGCTTGGTCATTCTAGTTTTGATTTGAAGATGGGTGCTGTAGGCGTCAAAAAATGCTTACAGACGTCCAAACACCACTCAAGACAACATGAAAAAATATGTACACACCAACAAACAACGCTTGGTGTCGCAGCTCCGGCGCGGCAGCTCATGGCGCCGCGGCCATGGCGCGGCAGCATGTGGTGCCG